CCCCAAATGCACATGCACGCGCGCGCACACACACTCTCTCTCTCCCTCCCTCCCAGCACTTTTATACTAAAATCACTCAACCAGATATACCCATAACATGACATGCAGTACTTGTACAATAGTTTTTCAACAAAGCAGCTTGTATTTAGATAATGTTAAATATGTTTATATTTTTTAAATGTATTATCTGATCCATTCTAATAATGTCACTAATATAAAAATAGTTAACTCATAAATATGCTTTCCTTTGTTCTTGTTCCCTCTGACATTAACATTTTTGTTATGAAAAGGCAATCAAAATAACACTGAAGATGTAGAGGAAATTTAAAATATTTAGTCGAGATGCATTTTAAAGCTTTGGATTACAATGAAATATTTCAGAAGAAATTACTAAATTAGTACAGTGGAAAGGACTGTAATGTATTACAGCTGTTTGTTGGGGAGGGATCCTAACTGAAAATATTGCACTCTTCTTTGTGGAAAGATGACTTTTAAAAATCAGTAATTATTCCCAAAGTTATCAAGTTGCTAGAGAGTTGGCTGCCTGGGCCTGTGGGCTGCATGCTCATCCCCTCCAAATTGCCTGCAGACGATCAGTTGGACAGCCTTGTATCATTATATGGGAAGACCAAACTTTATTGTTATTTATCCATATTATGTAATCCCTAATGTTTTTATAACACTTACTATATAGTTTGGATGCAAGAAAAATATGTAAAAAGAGCAGAGATTTAAGTAACTTTGAGCCATTGGTCTGTTCTTCGTGGAGAGTCTGTGTGGAAAGAGTGGTATGTACTTTGGCCAAAGAGGAACTAAACTGGGTGTAAATCCAGAACACAGTTTTGGAAGATTGTTTAAATAAGGAATTGGTGAGCAAGCTTATATTTGTAAGCACTGAATTTAGGCAAGACCGTCTGCTAAGGATGTCATTAATGTAAAGGTATCTCCATTCAGAAAATTATAGGGCTAAAAGTGTAGTTGATGGAGACTGGAGATGTATTGAAATTGGAAAGAAATAAATGTTAGAAAAAAAGATGAAGTAAAAAAGCTATACAATGGTACACGTACATCAGTGTAAGAATTTGGAAATTAGAATTCATAATGCTGAAAAAGGATGTTGTCATAGTAAGCATAATTGAAGCATGGTGGAATGCCAGAATTCAAAAGAATACTTTAATCCTGACTATAAACTGTACTGGAACAGCAAGTTGGATCATAGAACTTGGGAAGTAGCCTTATTTTTAACACATTTTATCTTAAAATCTGTAGAATTTGAGGGGAGCATACCATAGTAAAATCTGATTGGAAACCACTTCAAAAGTCAGAAGAATAAAAAGCAGTCCAGGAGAACTAGGAGCGCTGTACTTAAAAGCTTCCACATCAAAGGGATATTGAACATACAAAATTAAAATAGATAAAAGGTTACCAGGCTAATTAAATAAGCTACCTATCCACAAACTGATCTGATGGAACAAATTTAGAGCAGAATTTTCCAGCCCTTTCCAGCTCAAGACACTTACATTAATAAACTTTTTCTGTGGTGCACAACCCCCTCCCAATTTTTTTTGACCACGTACAAACTCATTAGAGTGTAGCGTGGTGTAGCGTCTCACGTCTGCACCAGAACAGCAGCATGACACAATACACTTTGGTTTGGTCTACAAGACTAATTCATATAAATGATATGTTTTATTTATTTTTCTAATGTGTGACACATTTCCCAAAATTCTGAGACGTGCCTGTTAATTTCTGATGGCACACCAGTTGGGAAACGGTGGTTTAGAGAACCATATCCCAACACGTTAAATTATTTTCTTGAGACAGCTAGTTTTGAGCACAAGGAGAAAAAACTAGATTTCTTCTAGACAACACCAAACTAGAATGTTAGACCGCAGCATGTACTGTATCTCCAGCTCTTTGTATTGTTAGCCAAGAACCCAAAGGTGCATGATTTTTGGCCCATTGGTTTATACAGCTCTGGATCGTCAGCTGTTTAGAACTGCTTTGAAATTGGTAGGTTGGATCTGGTTTTAGGTGATAAAGGGCATAATCCACTTCATATGGATTTAATACCGATCCCAGATAGAATAGTACAGCATTCAAACTATGAAGCAGCCTACACAGCACTGAACATCCATTGTATCCATGTGCTTTGTACAAATGCTGTTCTGGACAGATGGTCTGTTTTTATCTATAGCTTTCAAATACTGGGAATGCTGTGCTTTGCATTTATCTCTCAGAAAAATCTGTTTTGCAACAGCTGTCTTTTTGAAAGCTTCTCTGGATACGGTTCAGTAGTTAGCAAGGACGATGACCTAGAGTAGGGATGTCAAACATATGAACCATTGGCCAGATCTGGACTATGAAGCCATGTGACCTGGCCAGTGGGTAGATAAACTGAGTCTGTACACTTGTCCAGATCCTGTGTGCTTCATATGGTGCACAGGCTGGATGCCATGCTGTGTGCACTGCAGGCAGCAGAGGGGTTTGATCCAGGTTACTGCACATAGTCCATGCCTGTGACCCCCCTTTGCTACATGCAGTGGCACAGCCCATTCTGGCCTTGGGTTGTGCGTGCAGTGAGTCCCACAGTTGACGCATGCTGCATGAGATGTGAGGCTGGACCACGTGTGCATGCAGCACAGGGGAATGGCAGGGGCATGCTTTATGCAGTGCTTGGCTGGACCTAGAACCAGCATACAGCTCCGGTTGATGGGTTGCCATGTGCAATGCTCAGGTATGCTCATCCAGTCCATGGGGCCAGATGAGTTTGATACCCCTCAGCTAGAATATGGGTACCCCATAGTATATAGAATCTTTTACTTGGATGGTTGGTGTTTTGCCTGAGGTACTCTTGCATCATCAAAATGTTTAAGACTAAGTTACTTGGCAATTCAGTAGATGAGGTGTATGCTGCCTCAAACTGGAAATGACCAAACTTCTAGGGCAGGGGTGGGCAATTATTTTGGGAGGAGAGCCACTTACTGAGTTTTGGCAAGCCATCAAGGGCTGCATGACAGGCAGCCAGGGGCAGATAAATATTAATTTTCTAAATTTTTTAGGGGTGCTGCGGGTTGAATAGAATGGCTTGGCAGGCAGCATTTTGCCCACCCCTGTTCTAGGGAGAGAATGAAATCATATTTCAAACCCTTTCCCAGGGACTCTGGAAAGAATAATTAGCTAACTGTGGACAAGTGGGAAAATACAACTTTTTGAACCACTCCTTCTACCCAGCGAAAGAGGGACACATTTTTAAAATTTTTTTTGTTCCTGGTCAAAAAGAAATTGGGGAAACAATCTAGTTTCTGAGGAACGTCATATTCAAGGAGGAAATAATCCCTCCTGGTGACAATAGATTAGAAGATGCATACTTCCACATCCCCATTCTTGAGCCTGCAGTTTTTTCCCTGTGGGCACCAGCACTTCTAAAGCAGCTTGTTGCATTTCGGTTTTACCACAACTCATGATTTGTTTTCAGATTATTTGTCTTGGTAGTTGTCTTCATGTTGTAGCAAGGTTGGAAACATGTTGTAGCTGTCCTGGTCCAGGGAATGTAAAAGAGGTAAGGACTGTATGTGACAACTTTTCATTGGACCAGTTGTATAGTGTGGAAACTGCTGGACAAGCTTCTGAGAATCGAGTATTCTTCCTCAGGTTGCCCTCAGGAAGGGAGGGGGGGGGTTCACTTGTGTCACATCCGTTCTGATAAATGCATCCCAGAGATAAAGTGATACAGATCCTTGGATCCGTGAAGAATTACTGTTTCTAAATTGGGAAAGGTTACCTGGACACCCCCTTCCCCCAAGTGGTGGCTAGATCATCTGGAGTGGAAATGGGCACACACTTCTGATCAGGATGGTCTTAAAAATATAGAAGGTTACAGTCTGCTCCCTGATAACATTGGGGATATCTGTCATGCATCTTGCTTGCTTCTGCTGTCTCAAGCTCATGTCTTAATCAATTTACTATGAGAGTCAATTTTCCTAACAGAGCATCAGTACCTAAAAGGGATTTCCTATAGCAAAATTGAACAGAATACAGTAAAATCCTTGCTATCCAGCATTTAAATAGCCGGAATCTTCACTTGCTGGAATTTCCGGCTGATTGTGGGGAGGGGGAAAGCTTGCACGCAGCAGCACCCGCTGCCACCCGCCACCCTGCGCTGCTGCTGCTCTGTGTGCAGTCACCCCCCCACACACACACACTTTGCTGGGGTTGGGGCTGGAGAAAGCTCACACGTGGCAGCTCTGCATGCATGGCCCTGTGCTCTGGCTGCTCCGCTGTGCTAGGTGTGGCCACTGCCACATTCTCCCCCACCCCTGCCCTGTGTTGTCTGAAAACCCTGCCAGATTATTTCAGATAATTGGAGTTTTTACATGACTTGCAATCCCCTTACCCCAGGGGTGTTAGATAACTGAGATTTTACTGTAGTGCTTAAATTTGGGCACTCGCATGGCAAATGAAATAAAGACAGAAAATTAGACAAAATTGGAAATAACACAGGGTGGTTAGACCTCAGAACAGTTTGCCCTAGTATTTTGCGCCAGGCAGACAACTCCTGTGTATTCATGTCTCTCAACACCTATGTAGTACATAGGTCTACAACAGCCGACAGATTGTGGTGCCTGTTGTCTAGTGTCTTGGAGAGTTTGCTCTACCCGGTCTATCCAAGCTGTATGTGTTCTAGGAAAAAAGTGCTGCTAAGCAAGGAACAGCTAGATTTACCATAACAGGGTTTTTCCCCATATAAAGATATTTTGGAGTTTTCTTGACCCTTTTTGCATTGTATGCGAGTTGAATTGGTTCCTCCCTTTTTTTCCCCAAAAGAAAGAACTAGAAAAAGAGGTTCAACAGTTGTTTGTCAGAGGTGAAAGTATAGGCCTCCTACTTACTGTCAGACTGGAGAGGGAAGCAGTAAGATTAGTGGGTGCATCTACACATGCTATTAAGGTGATGTGATAAACTCCAGTGCAGTTTGCACCATTTACCTGGCACCTTAATGACGTGTAGATGCTTAAACTGCTGTGGTCCAGGGTACATGTGCAGATGCTGCACTGGAGACTGCAGCAGTTTGAGTCAGGGTGGAGCAGACCTGGGCAAGCAGGGAATCTGGGGGGTCAGCTCGTGGAGGGTGAGGGAGGCTGGGCTAGGCAGCAGGCAGGGGTCTGCCCCCTACTGCCTGGGCTGACCAGGTACAATCTACACCTGGGTCAATGTTTACATGTGTTTAGGAGCAGTTATTTTCACTGTCTCCGATAGTACTATCTTACAGCAGTGAACATTAGCTTGCTGTGGTGTAATAGCATCGCATGTGTACACTGTGGTGCTTTACACTGCAGCAAATTAGTCTATTGCCCAGTTAAGCACATCTGTAGATACACCCAGTGAGTGCATATTGACTGAGGCATTTCTGGATCATAATGCTTTTATGAATATGGTTCATATTATACGTTTTTACCAGTACCATGTTATTTTCTTTTAGACAAGACCAGGTTTGAATCCCAGAGACTGGTTTTTTTTTTGCTTTTTTTTTTCATCCACACTAGAACTCGTAAGAGTAAATTTCCTGTCTAATAAGCAGTCTGACTGAAAGAGAGAAGATAAATGGCATAGTCTTTGCTCTTCTGACATCTGGGCAAATGTCTATAGGTTCTTTCATTTTTGGCCAAGTCATGACTTCTAACAGTGGTATAAGAAACACAAATTCTTAATTTCATCAACATCTATGTGATGAAAATTAAGGTTCTTAAAGAAGAGAATAACAGGTTTTTCAGAGTTTGTGTTACTTAAACTACTTAACTCTGATCTAACATCCTCCTGAGTAATTAACAGGTTTTCTTTATAGGTTATCAAACATTTTTCCAAAAACTTGAGAGTATGTGCCTAAGGAGTTGTTAAGGGTATGAATGGCACTATTTCTGGACTTGCTAAAAATATCCTCTCTGAGCAGTATTTAGAATGGGATGAATGTGTAATAAAATATGCTTTGTGGTAACAATTTATTGTTTATTGTTGTAGTGCATATATAAATTATAGGTTTCCCTAACTTTATGCTGTACGTGCATTCCTGGAAAACGGTGCATAACTTGACTTTGCATAAAGGAAACCCACTTCACAATGTAACAAATAGGGATACGTTCCAGGACCTTGACTCTTCCTACCCTCAGACCCATTTCTACCACTTTTACAAGACAGTTTTGGTACTCGCCAACAGCAGACAGTATGTGTAAGCACAGGGCACTATCATAATAGGGATGGCAACTATAGAAACACGAGTCACAGACAACGAGCGAGGAGCACAGATCCAAACAGGAGACTGTATTTTGCTGCGTGTTGCTCCCACGCAGCTGCTGACTGCATGCTTCCACCACACTGATCATGTAAGAGTGAATTAATTTCACATCTAACACATCTTTGGTATAAAAAGGGGCATTGTATAAGAGTGAATTTGCACATATAGAACCTGCATAATTGCAGGTTTCACTTGCTTTAGGAGGTTTGTTCATCGAAGATACCCTTGTGCTGTACAAGTTGTCTCAAGTAGCAGGTTCGTCACTGTAGTTGGCTACAGCTGCTTCAGTAGCAATTGACAGGTCTGTTTTTGCTTATGCTGTTGCATACAGATGATGATGCCATTGGTTAACACCTATGGACCTTATTATTTGGAGAAAAAAGTTCAGTTACATCAAGATAAATTTTTATATTATTTCTAGAAGTCACTGGCTTCTAGAATTTACTAAAAAGCTTTTACCATCCTTCAAATGCATACATAGGTTCTTTCTTAGCTTTTGACTCTTCCGGCACATGTTCTCAAGTTTCTGATTTTTAGAGTATTAAAGATTTTTGCTGTGATATAGAATTCTCTCAAAAATGTTTTGTTAGAGCTACTCAGAAATTAAAGTGAAACAATTGTAAAAACATATTCACTATTTTTCATGTGTATGTCTCTATAGAACCATTCTCATGACCACATACTAGACGCAGGAGACTCGAAAAAGCAACAAGCTAACCAACATAACTACCGTACCAGATACGCATTAGAAGAAACTGCCAGGCCTGCTGAAGAGTTAGAAAATGGAAACAGTTCATCAGATGTAAGAGTTTAAATAACAAAGCAGCATTTGAGATTATTTACATTGTTTCAAGTAGCTCTAGGAATTGTTGGTTTTGAAGTTCAATTTTTTTTTATTGTTGATCTTCAATTACATGCTTATCTACCTTTGCATAGGTGTTAAGGTAATAAAAATTGCCCCTACATTTTATGCATGCATGCGCATGCAAAATTTCTTAATGGTCATTCTCAGAAAATAATTACATGTGCAAGTTCTTAACTTCAGTGTAGCTTCAGTGTCCGTTTGTGTTCTTTCAGCAGTTGACCTACATAATATAACATAAATTGGTCAGCAATGAGAATCTTGGCATCAAAATAACTGTTTCATGTTTAAGAGATCAGTGTGCATTTAAGTCTACACAAATCAAAGACCATTTTTATTTGATATGGGTATAAGTTTAACAGTTTTATATGAGCAAATGAAGCATGAACTGCTGGTTTTGTTAGACTCTAGGTAACTAAATGAAAGAGGGAGGAGGATGAATCATATTATACTAATTCATGGAAAGCATAAGTGGAAGTCTAGAGTCAAATGTGTAGAATAGGATAAACTTTTTTAACAAGACTAAAACTAGTATTTTATAGCCAAAAGGAGATAGCTTATTTAAAAATAGCTAACTTCCTGAAAAGTTCAGGTGAAGAGCAGTTAAAAGACTTGCATATCTAAGTATATGCTGTTTAAAATTCTGCCTCTATTCAGATGTTATACACTACTTACATAAAGCATAATGTGATGACTTTGCTAATCTCTTGCACATGCAGGTATTGTGCCCAGTTAGATTTCCTGCAATACAGGGTCATATTTTTAAAAGCGTGGACTAATTTCTTCAGTATTCTAAAATGCAGATTTGGATATACATAAATTTGGGAGGATAAAAAAATAAAAAAAAAGTTTATGGACTTTTAAAAACCCTTCCCTTCGTGCTGACACAAAATCTGGCTGTGGAGATGTGTCTGCATAATTGAGGATAAATTGCTACTTTAGGTGTGCGTACTTGAGTAGTATTAAGTTTAATTTGGGGTCTGAAGTGTTTGTATAGTTAAAAATGTGACCCAAGTTTTAACACCAAGTTGGACAGAATTTTTAATAGTAGTCTGTGCCATTTGCATATCATTCTAAAATGTTTTAGCACACTCTTGTCTGCATTACCAGTAGTTATGGAAATTATGCTTGTTGCTCTCCAACATGGAAGAAAGCCATTTTGTTGATAGGGATCAATGCGCGTGATTTAATGAAGAAAGGCTTTGTAGGGGAAATAGAAAAATTAGTTAACAAAACATAGGCCCCCGGTACATGTTAATTTAATAGCACAATGGTATCTGTCCCCTAATTATGCCTCCTGCCACTAATTGTGGAAGCCAGGGAAGGTAATAAATAAGGGATTGATCACTCCATATATGTCTAGTTCAGTGCTCTCCCTTCAAAGCAGGTGGTGCGTTGCAGGGTTGGTTTGCAGGCAGGACACGTGGTTTTGGGACTGGGCATCAGATTCCAGTTCTGCCATTACGGCTTGCCAGCACAGGGCGAGCCTGAGATCATGATCACCCCTGTACCAGCAAGTAGGAAGCCAGCTGCCTGGCAAACCAATGTGGTCCCAGGGCTGGGACAAACAATCAACCACAAAATTATTCCGTAAAATGTGTAATAATTTTGCAGCTGATTTCCATTGCACCTTAAATTGAATGTGTGGCAGAGTCCCTACCATGCAGCTTGATGCCAACTGCATGGTGCAGTCCGTCTCTGCCCCAGGACTGCACTGGAGCTGGTTTGAGACTCCAGTGTGGTCCAAGGCTGGAACCAGCAATCAAGTGGATGTGGAATTGTCAGTTGATTGTCGGTTTCTGCACTGGGACTGCACAAGAGCCAGTTCAGGGCTCCGGTGTGATTCTGGGGCTTTGACTGGCAATCAGCTGATTGTACCTCCTAGCCCTGGGACCGTAATGGGGGCCTGTCCCAGAGCTGTGCTGTGTAGCCAGCATCAGGCTACATGGCAGGGACTCTGCCACACATTCAGTCTTTCTCCTCCCTCTTTTCATGTGTGTGAAGTCTTTCAGGTGGTTTTTTTGTAGAGACTTGCTGGTTCAGCATAATTTTTTTCTACTTAACCGTTTAAGAGATTATAATAGGGTTGCAGTTTAGTACGTTTTTAAAAAGTTAAATTTAACATTGTAAATATGATTTAAACAGGAAAAGATTGTTTTTGAAAAATATCAGTCCTTATTTTAGGGGGTCCACGTCTGTGGAAAGGGTATATTGGTTCATGTAATGGGGGTAGGTACTATTGTAAGGACTTGGATATCTTGATGGACAATTTTACATGCTATGACAGGCCCCCCCTTTTTGGTAATGGAATCCAAAGTGCAAGCGATGTTTTTATCTTGGACTTCCCTTAATTTTTTTGTTTGTTTTTGGACATTTTTTTAAATCTCTGAAAAGTAATGATGGAAGCATGGCTTATATAACCAGTTTTCCTGTAAATAAATCATGTCAGCTTACTTTGATAACAGAAGTAAGGCCTTCTGGATTTTTTTTCTTTTTAACTACTATTAGCTCTGCAGACCCAGTTTAATAGCAAGATGTTAAATCTCTTTTCTTCTATTCCTTTACAAATTGTTAATTAAATTCCAGCTGAAGTGTTTGCATCTCTCACCTGTTACCTGTCTGCAATCCCACTAACTGCAAAGGGGTTGCATGTGTGTAATTGATATGGTAAAATGTTGCCTGCATGATCCTTATAGTGATTGCATGAGAGAAATAGAGAGCTCACCCTGATTTTATAAGAACTGAAGGTGTATAGTTTTTGTAAAAGAAAAATCTTTAAAAATTGAACAAATTTGATCTGAAAATTGATCCAAATCACTGAACCCTCAAAGTGTATTTTATTTATTATTTTTTAGTAAAAATCAAAATAAAAGGGGTATGATTGATTTTGGGTTTTTTATAACATTTTTTTCTTACATAACCTTTAATGTTCATTATTTGTGAAATATTTGACCTACAGCTGATAGGAGAGAAATTTTTCACTGACTCTATCAGATTCCACTCTCTCTTAGATACATAACATCGATGAAGCTGTTTTTATTTGTGTTTCATTTTATTGTTAAATTTACCAGCATGGCTACACATGCAATATTTATTTTTTCAATTAATTTTCCTTTGGGTGTGGGGGGGAGGCTAGGGAAGATGCTTTGTAGCATTGGAATACCTCATTTTCACTATTATGAGTTTGCAAGATGTATTTAAATTATTTCTCAGAAAATATAGCTCGGCCTATATCTGTGAGATGCAGTGTTTTCTCTTAATTTGTGGTGAGAAATATATACAGCGCATAGAATATGTTTGGTTACATATGCTTAAACTTTTCGCTGAGTGCTGACTATCTTATTTCTACTTTGAGCACTAGGCAGTTGATTGAAATTTTTTAAAAATTAAAAGGGGTTGATCTGTAGTATGAACTAAGAGGTGTCAAAGCCATTTATGCCATTACTGTAGTAGTACTACAGTTCCATATAGAGGACCCAGCCGAGATCAGGGTTCCACTGTACATGTATACATTATATAAGTAAAAGACAGCCCCGGCTTCCAAAGACATGAAAATCGAAGTGGGCAAGAAAAGGTTGGGGGCAGGGGGGAGCAAATGTTTATAACAGGCCGTTACAGAACGGAGAACAGAACGACGAAACTATGTGCTGTTTCAGTGCTCAGTCCACTACAACATGCTACCTTTTGGTTTTGCTCTCATTTAAATAGCTACAGACACAGTCAAACCTGTGTAAAGAAAATTCATACCTGACCATCAAAATGCTATTTTTCATGTATACTAATCCCCTGAAAGATGACGTTTACAATAGAAAGATTGACTCCGAATTTTAGTTATGCTTTTCAGTGGTCATGTTATAATTAATGCTTCATTATTATACCACAGAGTAACTGTCACATACTTCCTTATCAGGAAGGAGAAATAGTTGTTGCCAGTGGTGGAACATCAGAAGATGATGAGAGAGCATGGCACAGTGATGGCAGTTCTAGGTAAGTGACAGCATACAAAGAAAAATAGCTGTACTTTTTAAGTTTTGTATTTTGCCTTCTCTGCTTATTCCATTAACATTAATGAAAACTGAAGGTGAAAAGCAAGGACACAGTTACCTAATCTTGTTGTCTGTATGTAATGCTGCTGTCAATCCTTGAATGACACTTTAATGTAGCCCATAATACAACTAGAGTTCTGTGAAAAGCTCTTATATACAAGGCTGTAGGTATAGGCATTAGTTCCCTGAACTGAACTGTTCTACTTAGCCATGAAGACACAGTTAAGTTTTGTATAAATAAAAATGGGCATCCCTTCAAGAACATACAACTTTCAGGAGGTGGGGGAAGGGAGGAGCGTAAAACAATTAAAAAAAAAAAAAAAAAAAAAAAAAAAAAAAAAAGTAAAAATTGGAAAGGAGAAAAAGGTTAATTTTGTAATATAGAGAAGAAACAAGACAGCCAATATCTTCAGTGTTGGGACATAGAAAGACACTTTTTCAGTTCATCACAAAGGAACTTAAACCAAAAAAGAGATTGGAAACCATAGCACTAAGGAATTGTTCTCTTCACTGTTACTCAGTAAGGTAGAATCTGATTGCTGATATCCAGATTTTTAGTTAAGTAAAATTAGGACAATTTGAGATTTTTTTTGTTTCCATATTTTTAAAAAGTACTAAATTTAAAGAGATTTTTTTTGTGGGAAATGGCACAATAGGACTCCTTCACTCTTTAAAAACTGAGGAGGAAGAAATGTATCTGAAAGCTGAGCATCAGTTATGGGGGGAAAATTACAATGTCACTTAACTTGATGTGGAGAAAGAACAAGACATGAATTTAATTCCGAACAGCTTAGGCATATATAGGACAGGAATGGAACATATGCTTTTAACTCATTTGCTAACAATGGAAGATACTGTTGATACAGCATTTAGAGAGAGAAATTAGATTTCGTACAAATAAGTGATAAAGACCTATATTAGAAATAGATGTGGCAGCTGGTATCATCAACAAACTACAGTCAAAGCTTTTAGAGCCATGTAACGTACACTTGTAGTCTAGGGTATTATTAGTTGTCTAGAGCAGGGGTTTCAAATACAGTTGGGGGCATGGCCTGCTGCTGAATCTGGAGCCACTGGTTCTGGCCGTTGGCAGGAAGCTTGGCTTGCTACCAACGCCAGCATACCCCTCACCACTGCCACAGTGAGCACTGAAGCAGTCTTCACCCTGAGCCAGAACTGACTTTCGAGGAAACCCATGGTCCAGATGCACCCATGTAAGTGAAGGTCACTGACACGGCCAGGAGGCTGTGGGTTGGGAGTGAGGGGCACTCTGCTCAGAGCTACAAAGCAGTGGGTACACATCAAAGAGCAAGAATTTATAGGTATTTAGAATTTATTTTATTATAGTGACTGAGGCCCTGGTAGGCTTCCTAATTGCCTTAACATTGTAAATATATCAATAAAACATTGTGTTCAACTGATATCTATATATGGATTTTGGGGGTTTAACCAGATAAACAGGTTTTCTGTTTAAAGATTGTAAATTATCAGATGGATTGCCCAATAGTTCACAGATTTCAAAGCCAGATGCCCCTATGTCTTCTTCATCGGAAGAAAAACAAGATATAAAGAAGGCAACTTAAAATATGTCGCAACTAATTTTGGCAGAAAGCTATCCAACAATAACTCACATACTGAAGATTGTATTTCTGTCTCATCAGAAAACCAGTATCAGCTCTTCAACCTTCCTTATGAAGGAGTCCCAACCTACTCCTAGCATACCACCAGGTCCTTATGAGTCCCCCCCACTTTTTTTTTTTTTAAATTGACATATCCCAGACATTAGGAGTCTGAATTCTTCCCCGCCTTCTTGAACAGATTATTTTCCCAAGGCCACCTCTTGCTTTAGAGCATCAGAAACTGAATCACCTATTCAATTAGTACCTGAGCTCATATGCCCACCAAGCTGTGAAACTTTGAACCTTACTACCTGCAGCAGGGGGGCACAAGTCAACCTTTACTGGAGACCAGTTGTAAGGTACAGATCCTAATAGAGAGTCGCCACTAACAGGATCTCTCTCCGACTGGATGCAAGCACTCTGCATGATTGTAAGTGGGAGACCTATGCAAGCAGACAGATTAGGGAGTCACTGCACAGCAAAGATACAGGATTTGCTGTTTTGCTTTGCAAATCTTTTTTCAGTTTACAGAATGTTTTAATGATGAGTTATGGCAGGGAAGGCAAAAAATAAAAACAGTATCTACCCAACCCTGGCTTATCTGCTAGCATGGGAACAATTCCTTTCTAGCTGCAAAAAGGCAGTTAGTACAGTGACAGCAAACTCCCAATCCCAGACCCTATTTTTGGGTCCTTGATGAAAATAATTTATCCTGAATTTGTTCTGGAAATGATTTTTTTTCAATACTTTATTTTATTTTAAACTTCTTTTCCATATCATCCTAGTGACTACTCCAGTGATTATTCTGACTGGACAGCAGATGCAGGAATTAATCTACAGCCACCAAAGAAAATTCCTAAACTTAAAACCAAGAAAGCGGAAAGCAGTTCAGAGGATGAGGAAGGAACAGAAAAACAAAAGAAGCAAATTAAAAAAGAAAGGAAAAAAGGGAATGAAGATAAAGATGGACCAACAACATCACCAAAGAAAAGGAAACCCAAAGAAAGAAAACAAAAGGTTGGAAACAATACGTAGGTTATAAGACACATACCACAAAGGGTTCTAAATGACTTGAATAGGTTGAGCAGCTGTATACAGCCTTACATGCAGTCCAGTTTGAAGTTACAGTTTGTTTATATTCTAGAAGTACTGATCATTGCAAATGTTAGGTCTTTTTGTGAGGTCTCTGAGGGTATGTACATGTGATACATTTAGGTCATCCTAAACAAAGTTAGGGCAATCTAAATGCTCTAGTCTTCTGGCACTCGTAGGGTTTATGTTGCCCTAAAAATGGTGAACCTAATCTAAACTACAAAAAAAGGTGAACCAGATCAGCAAAGGGTTAACCTGGCCTAGGAAATGCTGGCACATGTTCACAGCATAACCTCAGGGCTGTGATGAGGGTTGTGCTGTGCAGTTTTAATACCCCTGAACCTGACCAGGTTATCTCCCAAAAGGAGTCTGTGGCAGAGGGCAAGATCTAGAATTACATTATGGAGTTTTGCCTGTATTAGGGAGCTAAGGCTGGATGACATTTTAGCAAGAAATGTTTGATTCAATATGAACCAAAGGAAGGGGTAAGGACTTTGTTTAGCCTTGCCAGTTGCAGTGGTTGGGATGCAAGAGGTCTTGTATTACAAAAATGTGTCCGGCTGGTGTATAAATCTTAAAGGAGTTATGGCAGGACTTGTGTGTTTGGGAGGTGTGTTGGGATTGAGAAGGGAACTTTAAAGGAAATTACTCAAAAATGAGGAAGCTAGTTAGAAATAAGTTAAAAAAAGAACAGTTGGAAGTTTAAAAGGCCTAAAAGCAATCAGAAGCCAAAAAGGCCTGCAGGCAGCTTGGAAGCTCTTTAAAAATACCATATTAGAGCAGTGATTCTTAACTAGGGTGCTAAGTAAATAAGCACAGGCTAAATCTTGTCCCTGCCTGGATGATCCTCCCGCCCCCAATGCCCAGCCCTGGGCAAGTAAGCACTATAATGTAATTGTTTTTTTTAAATTGGTGTCACTTAATTCCCAGAAGTTATTTTGTGCCTCAAGTCCAAAAGTTGAAAACCACTGTATTAGAGGCTTAGAAAAACGTGTACCACAAATCAGGAAGGGTACCAAGTGGTTCCCTAAAGCCCCTTTATGGCTTAATAGCAGAGTTAAAGAGGCCATTTTAGGCAGAGGCATGCTCAAATGATGACAACAGGAAAGATTACAAACTCTGGCAGGGCAAGTGTAAAAGCAAAATAAGGTAAGCAAAACAAAGAATTTTGAGGAGTGTCTAGTAAAAGATGCTGAAGTTAATCTTAAACTTCTTAAAAATACAGAAGCAAGAAGCCAGGGAGAGAATTGAATGGACTGTTAGATGACCAGGGATAAAAGGTGTACTCGGGCATGAAGAAGCTATAGCAGAGCAGCCAGATGAACTCTTTGCATTGGTTTTTACAGCAAAAGATACTGAGGAAGTTCCCATGCCAGATCAGTTCTTCCTAGTAGATAAGTCTGAAGAGCTGGACCACATTGAAGTGACAAAGAAAAGGCTTTGGAACAGCTCAGTAAATTAAATATTAATAAGTCACCAGGACCTGAAGGCATTCACCTAAGAGTTCTGAAGGAACTTCAAGGTGAAATTGCAGAACCGGTGGCAGTAGTATGTAATCTAGTTACAGCAACCTCTGTGCCAGAGTACTGGTGGGTTGCCAATATAGCACCCATCTTCCAAAAGGGCTCTGGAGGTGATGCTGGAAACTACAAAGTGCGTCTTTCTTTCATCTCTGGCAAGTTGGTAGAATCTATAATAAAGAATAAAATCAGTCACATGGACAGATGTTTTGCTGGGTAAGTGTCAGCATGGTTTTTGTAGAGGAGAATCCTGCCTCACCAACCTGCTTGAGTTCTTTGAGACTTAAAAAGCTTGTGGACAAGGGTGATACAGTTAACATAACATATTTGGACTTTTGAAAAGCCTTTGACAAGGTCACTCACCAAAGGCTTTTTTAAAAAACCTGCATTGCCACAGTATAGGAGGGAAAGTTCTTTTGTGGATTGAGAGTTGGTTAAAAGGTAAGCAGCAGATAGAGCCAAATTGTTGCTTTTCAGGATGGAGGGAAGTCCAAAGTAGGGTCTTGCAAAGATCTGTGCTGGGCCCAGTTTTGTTCATCAGTTTCATCAGAGACCTGAAAATGGGGGTACACAGTGAAAGTTTTGCAGCTGATTCCAAATTATTCCAAGTAGTCAAATCCCAAGCTGATGGAGAAGAGCTACAGTAGGAGATATGGAGGTAGAGATATACTTCTGTTATCCCTATGGTAGGTATATTTTTGGAGTTCCAGTTTCAGGTGGTAAGCAAGCTTAATTTAGCATTTCACAGAAAGTCAGGGGAAACCATAAGCCACAGCCCAATGTTTCTTATTTGCTGCAGGCCTGAGTTTATTATGGGAAGAAAATGTTGGTATCTGTGGGTAAACAGAGCTTGCATTTCTCCCAGGAGAAAGGCTTTCATTTTGGGATCCTTACAGAGGGACTAGTCCATTCTCTTCTTTCTTTAAGTACTTGTGAAGTATATAGGGGTGTAGGTTGTAGCCATGTTGGTCTCGGGACATAGGCAGATAAGGTTCTTCGGGTCTGACGAAGGCTTTTTAAACCCAAAAGCTTGGTATAAAATGTTTTTACAAACTCTTTAAGTCGGTCTAATAAAAGATATCATAGTCACCCAGAGAACCTTGTCTGCCTGTGAAGTATATGAGAGAAAACATGCTCACACTTTTTTTTCCTGGGACAATGCTATGTTCATCTGTAAGTGAATAGAGGCTTCTTCAAGATAATTGCCAGTCATTCTAAGGACAGGCCTGTCACATTGTATGCTTTCCCTGGCTTAGAAGAGCTACATTTGGAAAGGGCTGTGCCACACTCCCCTTTTCTTCTGGGTTTTGATTCAGATCAGTCAGGACTAGCTCAAATGAGGGGCATTTATGCATGTGCTCTGGTGGGCAGGGGGTGGCACTTTAAACAGAGTGGCTCTTGGACCCACTCTAAAGTGCCTGGAGCGTCACATGTATCAGCGTCCCCATGCTGAAAAATGATCGTAGGGGCTCTTTAACTAAAGCTCATTGACTCTGGAGTCTCCTGGATTGTAGTAATTGTTTGTATTCACTAATAAATTTATATTTAGCAGTGGCAAAGAAATGAGAAGCATCTTCTGAAACAGTTGAGACCACCCAATATTGTGAAAACCCTCTTAGTTGGTGCCTGGAGCTAGCGCCCTGCTTGTCCCATCCTAAACACTGTTGGCTTTACTTTGCAACCTACGATTGTCTTATTGTTGTGTGAAGGAACATAGAATTTTGACCATTTCAAGTGTTTAAATATTTCAACTTTTCATACTTGGAGAATGCAGAGATCTAAATATATTTATGCTGTGTATATATTAAATGTGTGGTAAAGTAATTTACATTAATTTTTTTTAAATTAAAAATCCTCATGTGGCTGCTTTATTATAAAATGATCTTAAACATTTTAATACATTTCTATTTGTGTCAGAAAAATATTTTCTTTCTTATGAATGATAATCAGAGAATTTATCTTTGACTTGGACAAAACAATATTATCTTTACAGGATGCATTGAATTTTGGTAAAGAGAGATTTATTTCTTACTGCTCTATTCTGTGCATTTTCTTTAGAGATTGGCGGTGGGCGTGTTGGCAGAAAATGGCCTGACTTTGGAAGAATGGCTGCCTTCAGCCTGGATTACAGATACTATTCCTCGTCGATGTCCATTTGTGCCGCAAATGGGTGATGAGGTATTTTTGTTTTCTTCAGCCTTCCTAACTCTCATGTCTGGTTTTTAAAGTTCTTTGATTTATGTTTTAAAGACAGGGATGTAATTACTTTTGGTAGTGTTTGAAATACTTTGGGGTTGATTTACCAGTCAAGCTATAAAAGTGCTTAAATAAAAATTGCTTTCATTCAGAATTGACATTTTTGTATTTATGTCCCTCTCAAGCTTTCTCTTTCTCCTCCAGAGTCTTCTAGACTCTTGTCTTGTTTTAGCTATATTTTTATTTTTCCACTCAAGTGAGAGGTATCTTTTGTTATACTGTGTTCACTTGGTGCTGCTTCCATAATACAAACTTTTTGGGAGGCTTCATCTATTGTCATCTGTTGCTCTATAGTGTCCTCTACACTCAAGTATATATAATAAATAAAATAAGCCAAATACATTAAAGCTTGCTATATAAAATTACATCTGAGACATGTTCAGATCAGCTTCACAGAAAATATCCAAGTTTGCAGACTAAATGTTGAATGGACTTTTGTTTGGAGTTTATGTAAAGATATTTAGCTTAAAGTTACTTTATTTTCTTGTATGTTAAATTAGTGGTAACCCAAGATATTCGGTTACTTTCATAATTCGTATTTAGAGCCTCCATTGATTTTATTTCTATTCATATGTAGTTAAAAAGTTCAGAGCAGTTCTGCATTTTCTGTAGTGCAGGGAAACTACAAGAAGTAATATAGTGTAAAGTAGGGCTGTGTGAAGCTTCAGAACCTGATTTGATTTGCAGGAGATTCGGCCCAATTTGGGGACCAAATCTCCGACTCTGAATTGAATCGGGAGACTAATTAAAGGCTCCAAATCAATTTGGAAAAGCTTCAGAAAAGATTTGGCTGATTTGGAGATTTGGCCATAGGCTAAACAGGCAGCTGACAGCTGCCTCCAGCTTGTAAGTCTGTTGGGGTTG